TTGCTGAGGACCACAAATTCATAATGGCTAATTTTGCACACTTCCCTATGGGATAAAATGGAGGCTTGGGCTTATTGGTATCTTTTGTTTGAGATTTCCTATTAACTCTTTAGGGATGGGCCATCCTCTCCCACCCACTAAGACTAAAACTAAAACCACTAAGTCTAAAAACACTCCAAGGCAAGATCGTTCTTAGCATAAGATCATCTCCACGCTCTTGAGTCATCCCAAGCATATACTCTCCTGCTGAGTCATAGGCCTCTGAGTCTTTTGCCAGTTTTGAATTTTTCAGTAGCCCTGCCTATCAGTGCATGCACCCAACACATAGTAGCTGTGTAGAAGTGTTTCTCTCTTAGTGTATCTGGAGATATTAACTTCCCAGTCACTCATCATATCCTACTAAATTTGTCTCTGTTTCTAATTTTATCCTCTTGTCATACCCTTAACACAGACAATTGGAACTCCTGGCTAGGTCCCAAATACTCTCTATTTATAATACAATATGCATCATACCTGAAGTCACTAATTCCAGTCATGAAAGCAACAGGAAGATTACACTATGGTGCCCAACTGGCAGTAAACTCAAAACCGCATAAATCAATATCAAAAACAAATCTTTAGGAAAAAGTCACTTACTAAGAAGGCCATCCCATAAAAGTGATAGAGATATCTATTCCACTAGATGTGAAACCTCAACATAGGAACACAAAAAATGTAAACCAAAGAGTTTTACTTTCAAAACAAACTCTAAACGCTTAGGATGTGTGATCAGAATATACAGTGAACACTTGAATTTTAAAAATTTATTACAGTAAAAGACAAGTTGTCACTAACTTCCTCCAAATACTCCCCTTTGCTTCAAACACATGTACCCCAGTTTTCCTGACATTTTCTGAAGCAGCTCTGAAAGTCCTTTCTTTTTTTTTTTTTTTTAATTTAAGGAGAAAAAGAAAAAAACAGAAAAAGGGTACAAGTAATACAAAAATTAAAAAATAAACAATAAGAAATCACTAGTTAATAGATTACATATTCTCATCTTAGAAATAGTTGTTCAAGTTACAAAATTGAAGCATATAAAGTGGACTTTCAAACAGTGAGAGTGCAAACAGTTTTATTCAAAAAAACTCAGTAATATGGTTATCTATCTTATACACTTAAACATATATGCAGTTGTAACCTTTAGAGCACTTCCTTTTGTACAATCGCAATTACACATTTTGGGTTTTATTACTCCCACGGTTCTTATTATTTTTTTTGAAGAGAGTAAAACCAAATGCGACATATCAGAACAGAGTCAGTCAAATCAGAAGGATGGACATAATAGATAATGTAAAAACAAAATGCAAGGTGATCAACAATGGTTACCATACTGCCTCTTGCTATTGAAAGTTCTCTTTCATGCCTTTAGTCACAGTACTCTGGCTGCCTTGAGGTCCTGATTCAATGCAAAATGTTTACCTTTCATGGTTATTTTTGCTTTGAGGAAGAACCTGAAGTCAGTCAGTACCAGATCCGGAGAACACAGTAAAGGAGAACATAAAGTAATGTTTTATAAACCTCCCTGTCTGTGGGAGGGCACTCGGCAGCAGGTTTCACTATATTTTGATTCTACCTCGTAAAAGACTCTCACAGTAAAAGACTCTAAGAGAAAAGAACTTCCAGAGCTGTTTCCCAAAGTGGCAAGAATGATGGAATAAGTGTGTTCAAAGCAAGACAGCATATTTTGAGGGAAATGGATGGCAATGGGGATCTTTTATTGTAGTAAATTTTTAAAAATTTAAACATTCACTAAATACTTTGATTACCCCTTCTACATCTCCCAACTCAACCAAAATGAACGAGTTCACCCAAAGTGCAAAATTCCTGTATGAAAAGATGAAGAAAAAAGGCATTTTGAATCACTCTGGGCTCCATAATTAGCTCTGATGGCTTCCTTTCAGACCGTTTTGGATGGTAAGATCAAAACTGAGGAGTCAAGACTGATGTAGGACTGTGTAAAGTAACTTTCAACAAGGTTTGGCCAATTCCTTTTGACAGGTATACACACTGCAACAATCTTGAAAAGCAACTTCTGGGAGAGTTTCCTAACTCCTTTTGAAGATATTGCTAAGAGAGGAAAGAAAGAAGAGACATCCAAACAAGGGCCAAATGATTGAAAGGAAAGCATTCACATCAACCGCAAAGTACATAACTGAGTGACCAAAAATTAAAATTTCTGTTACACTGTGGGCCACCAACAACCATGCAACCCACCCTTTCTGTGGGTTTAGTAGCACTTTTGTCACCAGGTATTTTTTTTAATTCTCAAAGCTATGTTCATAATCAAACCTAATACCATCTGCACAAGACCAGAGGTTGTTCTCTGACAAAAAGTAACGTTTTACTAGCAATGTCTTCAGGACTTCCTAAAAGAGATAGGAAATTAAACTGGGGTAAATTATCCATCAAAATTTTCAAGAGTTCTGGGGATATTTTTCAACAAATTTGACTTCTTTAGGAGGTCTCATAGCGAAAGGGTTCATGAACTAGAACACAAGGAAATCACTGCTTGTGATTAAGCAAAGAAAAACTGCAAAATCACTTCTGAAAAATTAGTGATTCAGCATCTATCCCTAATTAATACTGTGGGTACAAATGTTATCAACATGTAATAGAAAGTCTTTGGGATTTACATATTCAATAAGCTAAGTTTTTTTTATGAAGTGGAAAGTTAGAAGTTTTTTGCTAAGACCATCTGGGCATCCTAGAAATCTGAATCCTACCTTGGACTCATTCCCATGTTATTATAAACTATTCTACAAACTCTCAAATCAGGGTAGAGTTCTTTATGGAAAGATGAATCCAGGAAATAAACTGAAACCAGGCTTGAGTTTGGTAAGTCCATGAAGACAGAGACTTGGAAACAGAAGAAAAAAGAATAGAGACTGACATAATTCAGGTAGACTGGAATTCAAAGCATGCTAGGACCTTCGTAACATAGACCAGCTGGAGTGAGACAAAACTAAAACCAGGCCAAGCAAATCTAGGAATATAAACAAGCTCCAGGGGCCTGTCTGCCAGGTGGACACTTGCAATGCACTGTCTCTAAGACACAGCAAGCTTATATTTATTTCAGGCAGGTATCAGGAATAGGGAATGACCACAAAGGTCAGGGCATGCTATCATAGTGAAACTTTCTCCAGCAATATTGTGGCCTAAGCATACAGAAAAAACCTAGACCTGATGGATGAAATACAACAAAAACTGTGAATACATAGCTAAGCTCAAAGAAAAGTAATGGAAATTCTAGAATCAAAACCAGGGGAAAATATTCAGTAGGAATGTCAGTGAAATTTAGGTTGCTCAGAGGGTATTTGTTGACACCAGTAACCAAGAAGCTTAAGGGCTTTGCTTGTGTGTGTGTGTGCATGCACGTGTGTGTGTGCATGCACGTGTGTGTGTGCATGCATGCGTGTGTGCGTGCATGTGTGTGTGTGCATGTATGTGTTCACGTGTAGGGAGCGGCTCAGAATGGGTGCCTCTGTCCTGCCCCTCCCACCTGAGGGCATTTTGTGTGTCAGCCTACATTTCCCATGATCCTCCCCTTGCCTACAGTGCACTTGACGTGAGCACCTTCCCGCTTCAGCCTACTTCTCCCATAACCCCCTCTTGTTGACATCACGTCCACTTACCTATGTGCCTACATATGACTTCCTGCTAGTCTGATAGGCCCACAGCATATGAGAAGATCCAAGCTGGCCCATTCTGTAAGACCACGTCCTCTTTGACTCTATATAAGCCATGTACACTTCCTGAATAAACGAGACTCGATTGGAATCTCATCCTGTCTCCGTCTCTCTTTTCTATTGCCCAGCCCCCCATCTCCATCCCCTCTCCAGGCAAGGCCTATGGACCGATCCGAAGGACAGATCGTGTGTGTGTGTGTGTGTGTGTGTGTGTGTGTGTGTGTACATGTTTGAGAAGAAGCATAAAAGTTTAACACCTATGGTGCAGGGTACAAATACTGAATTCAACATACATTTGTATAAAATAACCACAAACCTAATACCTAACACTTATTTTGCAAAGTTAAGGTTATCCTAAAACATGCATATTATTAAATGGTTTAATATAAGTCATGAAGGGATTAGTGATTCAATAGTTTGCAAATTAAAATTCAATAATATTTAATATCCAATCACAGGCCTCTACACTAGAGCCATTTATTCTGTCCACAGTATGAGCCTGAGAATAATCACATCTTGAGCTTCACAGGTTTCGTGTATATGAAGAATCTTAGTTTTTTATAACAGTACGGAAATAGATGTAAAGAAGTGACTTTGCTCAACCTGAGGAAGTAGAACACAACCCCTCTCTGCCCGACCCCCCACAACCCCTAAAGGGCTTTTCTTTCATTTAAAAGAAATAATAAGGAACCTGTCAATCTTAGCTTAGACAGTTGTGAAAACAGGCTCCCCAAACATAGGTTGAAATTTATATCACTTATATAGTTCAGAAGGCCAAGGCTGAGGAGCTGACATTAGGTGGTCTAGGGCTTGAAAAATACTCCAATGTCTATAAAACCCAAAAGCAAATTTGTTTGGAGTGGTGGTTCTCAATCTTGAGTGTAGGACTGTAAAAATACAGGTGCCTTGCTTTCACAATCAGAGTTCTAAGTTAACTGATCTAAGGTTCAGCCCATCCTACTGATTTTTCAAGGCTTAACAGGTGATTCTCATGTACATCAAAGACAGAAATACTACACGAGAGATTTGCTTTCTGTGAAAGCCTCACAGGATTCTCACCAAGTATCACTCATTACATGAAATTTTACAATAGTCAAAGAAATAATCACTTAAGCAACAGCTGGTACAAATTAAAATAAGATTAGAAACTCAAAGCTTTGGATAATAATAATAGTTACAAAAGAAGACTTAAGGAACAAACTCAAACCAAAATGAAACTTCTAGAAGGATAATCACAGAAATAAAAATCTTAACAACTGTTTTTTTCCTAGCAATAACATTCCTTCTTATATGTATCAAAGCTCATGCCAGACAATGAGTTCTGGGTTGTGAAAGAGGTTGTATTTTTTGTACCTATTCATTAATAATTGGTTTAAACAGCAGATTAACAAACTCACAGAAGTGATGACCAAGACGAGAGACTGAGAAATTATCCAGATTGCAACACTGAAAGATGAATGATGGGAATTCCCACAGAGAAACTTACATAAATGAGAATGTTCAATTTATACTCAATCAACGTCCCAAAAAAGAGAAAGCGGGGAATGCAGGAGACAAATGTTTCAAGCGATAATGGCTGAGGTTCTTCCTGCGTTAATAAAAAGTATAAGACTCATGAAATTTGAGCTGTAAGCTTCACAGAGTAGAGAGAATGACTGGATAAACTGTCTTCCAAACAAAATTAAATCCACATCTGACTCACAATAGTAAAACTAAATCCACACCTGACTCATAATAGTAAAACTAAAACATCAAAGGCAAAGAAAATTTATTAAAGACATCAGAGAAATGATATTATCTATAAAGAAAGAACAATTAGACTGACAACACATTTTTCAACAGCAGCCACTGGGGTAATTTTTAGAGCTCACTACTGAGCCTATAGCTAAATGCTTTCTCCTAATTGGGGAATCACACTGAACTAAGCTCAGCTCAGCATTATCAGTGACCTCACCCGGAAAGAACTGAGACAAGAGATGCTGAAAACAGTAGCAAACAAAACAATACCAAAGTTCTTGATCAGCATGACACCCTCTGGAAATTTAATGAACATTAACTATCCAAAAGAAGAAATGGGATACTTATAAAATTCCATGAACTCTTCATTCTTTTCCCACAAAATGAAAGCTTAACAAAAACTAGTAGTCCTTAATTGATACAGTAATACTCCTTTTCACAGATTATACAAAGTGTTGGCAAGGATATAGAAGAGCTAGAATGTTCATAAACTGCTAGCAGGAATGTACAATGATAAACCACTTTGCAAAACAGTTTCATAGCTCTTAGAAAACTGAAATGCACTTACTATATGAGGTGTGAAAAAAACTACAGTGTATTTACCTTTTTAAAATTATCGTAGTAAAAAAATTGCCATTAATACTATTCAAAATATTTCATCCACTTTGAAAAAACTTATCCTGTTGTTTTCTCACTTTCTGAGCAGAAAAGAAAGTGCTTTAAACAATATAACTGCATGTGTATTTAAGTGTATAAGATAGACAATGATATTACTGAGTTTTGTTGGATCATTGAACAGAACTGGTCTCACTGTTTGAATGTCCACTATATAAGCTTTAATTCTGTGACTTGAACAAACATTTCTAAGATGACAATATGTAATCCATTAACTAATGATTTCCTACTGTTTATTTTTTTTTCTGAAATTCTGTATAACTTGTACCCTTTTTCTGCTTTTTTTTTCTTTTTCTCCTTAAATAAAATTTTTAAAAAACTTAAACAAGAAGAAACAGACCTACTGCTTATCCATTTAAAAAATGGAATCAGTAATTAATACTTTTTCAAAACAGAAAGGACTGGGTTGAGATGGGTCCTTTACTAAATCCTAGGAAACACTTAAAGAAGAAATTGCATCAACCCTGTCCAGCCTCACTCAGAAGCACAGGAAATACTTCCTAACTCATTCTGTGAAGCCAGCATTATTATCCACCACCAAAACAAGTCAAAGACATCACACACACACACACACACACACACACACACACACACACACACACACAAATTACAGACCAACATCTTCAATGAATAGACACAAAAATTCTCAAGAAAATACTGTCAAATCAAATTCCACAATGTGTAAAAGGACTGACGCTTCATGACAACCCAGTATTTATCCTAGGTATGAAAAGTCAGTTCAACATTCAAAAATCAATTAATGTGGGCTGGGGATTAAGCTCAGTGGCATAAGCACCTGTGTGACAAGCATGAAGTTGTAAGTTTGATCCCAGGTACTAGAAAAAAAATTAATCTTAGTGTGTTCTGGGCACAGTGGTGCATATCTGTAATTGTACCATTCCGGGAGGCTGAAGTAGGAGGATATCAAGTTTAACGCCAGTCTGGACAACTTAATGAGGCCCTATCTCAAAATAAAAAATACAAAATAGGGCTGGGGATGCAGCTCTGAGAATGAAAACCTGTCTGCAAACTAAGAACAGAAAGGAGCTTCTTCAGTTACTGGTAGCTAAGGACTAGCTACAAAAACCTACAACTATCATCATATCTAATATCTAATGGTGACAGACTTGGAAACTTTCCTATTAAGATCAGCAACAAAACAAGGATGCTTCTCCCCAAGTCATTACTGAAAGAATTTTGGCCCAGACAGGACACTGTAGCCGGAACCAAGGAGCTCCATCTCCCCCACCCCTAGGAATTTACCTATGGCACCAAAAGAATACCAATGGGCTACCTGTGCATCACTAATGCCCCTTAGGTTCCACCCTAAACCTAGGCTACTTATATGCCTCCACTCCACGTGTTTCACGGAGAGATGCCATGACCCAGGGGGTGGGGGGTGTCTCTCCCCGCATTCTCAAAATAAAGGTCATTTATATTTCATACTTCTTATCTTTTCAGGTGCCACCGGTCTCCCACAGTTCTATCAATTAATTTTTCAAAAGTGGACAGGAAAGCCAGGCATGGTGCATGCCTATAATCCCAACACACGGGAGGCTGAAGTAAGAGACTCACTGAATTCGGGGTCAGCTTGGGTTACACAGCAAGACTCTGACAAAAAGAAGTAGACAGGAAATCCTAGGTAAAGCAGTAGGGTAAGTAGAGGATGGTATACAAAGCATATAGGTTGGGAAGGAAAAAATAAAACCAGCACTGTAGTAACACGCTCACCCAAAACAACTGACAGAAACACTGGCGCTAGTAAGACAGTAGAGCCAAGGTAAAGGGTACAGAGTTAAAACACAAAACTCAATCAGTCTCCCATATATCAATAAACAACAAGTATAGATAGAATTTAAAACTAAAAGTGTACTGCTATTAACAAAAACATTTAAACACAGTGAAATAATTAGGTGTATATGATAAAATACATACAAGTTCTATGTAAGGAAAACTATATAACTCCGATGAAAGATATCAAAAAACTGAACCAATAATGAGACATTTCATGTTCATAAATAGACAGGTTAAATAGGAAGGCCAGATGTAAGTTCTTCCCAATTTGATCTCTAGGTCAAATATCCAGAAACTTATTTTACGAATACTGACAAACTGTTTTGAAAATATATATGAAAGGCAAAAATGAAAATCAGACAACTCAGTTTTAGAGACCAAAATCAAAGGAATGACACTGTCCAACTTCAAAACTTACTATTTAAAGTGAATGGAAAACCGTTTCACCAACATAGACAATTACGTGGGTACAACAGATACCCGTCCAAATGTATTGACTGCTTTTGACAACTATGCAGTCATCATTAGGTGTGGTAGACAGCCATAAACTTAGAATTTTTGATGTGTCAGGACAAGAGAATAATAGACTATGACTGCTGGGTTATCCACAAACAGATGTGTTCTAGCCTGATCTCTCCACCTCACTTCAAAATGTGAAAGAAAAGCAGGTATCTGACATAATTCACCACTACTCAAAGATTCTTCTTTGCTTGTCAGGATCCAAATTGACCTTAATGATGACTCCCTACTGCTATTCATTGTGTTTAAATGTTTTTGTTAATAGCAGTACCAAGAAACTCCCTGTGCACAGGCAGGAGCCCATCACTGCAGAGGCTGCTGACGAGGTCACCAGTGATTTGAAGGCTGGCGAGCACATGCAGGTTCTGCACTCACACAGAAGAGCCTAAACAGCGCAGCAGTCAGTGCAACACTGGCTCTCCCGAGGTCTCTGGAAGCAAAGGACCGCTGCAGATGAATGAACCCAGCAAAGACTCTTCAGGAGTCGGCATGCATTACAGTGCTGGACTTCTTCTCTTCATTTCTCCACCGTGGTACTAACACGACTGGGAAAGCTCTGGATTGGGAGTTGGAAATGCAGGTTCTAACTGGGGCACCAGAGCTTCCTTGTCAATAATTTGATAACCTCTGCACCTCTTTGGACCTCAGTTTATTCTACCTAGGCATGATTAAATGGATGTGTATTCACACAGACACACACATAAAATTTACTAGAAACCACAGGAATCAAGACATGGTGCTGGTGAAAGAATAGATAAATACATCGATAAAACAGAATAGAGAGCCCGGATAAACATAGTCATGTGCTCTTTGACAAAACAGCAAAGGTAGTCTTTTCAATAAATGGTACTAAAACTAGACGCTGACATGTGAGAAAAAAACCTAGACATAGACCTTAAAAGGGATATAGATATCAATACAAAATACAAAACTGCAAAACTTCTAGATGACAACATAGGATAAAATCTAGGTGACCTTGGGTATAGAAGCAATTTTTAGACACAAGACCCAAAAACACAATCCATTAAAGAAATAATAAATTGAACTTCATTGAAATTTAAAGCTTGTACTGTGTGAAAGACAATGTCAAACAATGAGGATACAATCCAAAGAACAAGAGAAAATACTTACTAAGCTACCTCTGACAAATGACTATTATCCAATATACAAAGAACTCTCAAAAATCAACCATAAGAAAATGAACAACTCAATTAAAAGCTGGAAAAAAGATATAAACAGATATTCTCAAAATGGAGATGTCAAATGATGTTCAACATCATATGTTATTAGTAAATGGCAAATTCAAACAAAAATGAGATGCCACTACCCCTACTACAATAGCCAAAATAAAAAACACTAACTACAACAAATCCTGGGGTAGATGTGGAGAAACAGGAATTTGCCAGGCGTGGTGGCGCGCACCTGTAACTCAGCCCTCAGTAGGCTGGGGCAAGAGGATTCCTGTGAGGTTGAGGCCAGCCTGGACTACAAAGTGAGATCAAGGGCAACCTGAATTACAGAGCAAAACCCTGCCTCAGACAGACCAAAACACACACACACACAAAGAGAAAAGAAAAGAAAGAATTTCATGTTCACTGTTGGCAGGAATGCTTTGGTAGGAATGTTGGTTAAGTCTACTTTGGAAGACGGTTTTGTACTTTCATATAAAATCAAACACCTT